ATGCTACAAACAGAATGCAAAAAAGTGTAGTGGTTCAGGCTCTAGAAGAAAAAGGATTATGTGGGGGATTATGTGGGGGATTATGTGGGTTTTTTCAGCTAACTCCTTCCATTTATGGGTGACGATTTTATTTTTTGGCAGAGAACCTTAAAAATCCCCACATAGTCCTACGTATACTAGTTCTAGAGTTTAACTTATCTTAAGTGTTTTGGTTTAATATTTATTTCTCTATTTTCCTCATTTTTTATCTTCAGATCTACTTGAATCACTCCTTTTCAGTTCCAATCTCTTCGTATACTTTTCTTTCTTCTTCTCCATACCTACACTTTCCTTGTCCTTCTCTCTTCCCCTCTTCCCATCTCTTACTCTGCCGTGCAACGAGGCTTCCTCGCTTCGCTCGCGCGCAGAATACTTTAGTATATGTTATTGCGACGCGTTACTCGCTGACGCTCGTAACCCTTTCGCAATAAAAGATTCCTTAAAGTTCTTCATTTTGTTCGCAAGATTAGATATGTTGATAGTTTGAGTAGTAAAGTCGGAGACAGAATATTTATTCTCTCATTGAGACTCAAAGCGTTTCAAAATGCTTTCAGAAGTACTCTAGGGCACATCTGAAGATTTATTAAGACTATGCCACCACTTGGAAACCATCTAATTCTAGATGGTGCGGTTAAGGCTAAAAACTCTAAACGATAAGATTCTTGAACATAAGTATTGATTGAAGGTGGTATTTTTGCATTTATTCCATTAAATTTTGCACAACCAATCGAAGATGAGCAGAAACCTTCGTTGCAGGTATTGCTGCAACAGTCTCCATCAGTGTTACATACATTGCCGTCAGGAAAACAGCAGCTGCCGGTATCGCAGATCTGGTTTGTGTCTGTACATGCTGAACATGTGTTTGATCCTAAATTTTCATTCGTGCAAGCAACGTTAAGGTTGGGGCAGGAAGCATACACCGTTGAAACATATTGAATTTTGCAATGCGCCACCCTCTGTGCAGTCGGTGCAAATGCCATTGTTTCCACAAGCGGTCTGGGTGTTAGGACATATGCTGGGTGTTGATGTGGTAGTTGATGTCATTGTAGTTTCTGAGACGGTTGATGCAGCTGAGCTAGCAATAGAAGAAGACTCAGGAGATGGAGAGGGGGAAAGTGAAGAAAATGCAATGGGAATAAAGCCATTAACATCAACGATAGAACCGGCTCCCAAGCAGGGAATGGCAAAGGTGCTAGATCCAATTAAGATGGAAACAGAACGGGTAGCACATTCATCGCTTCTGTGGCCACCTTTGCCACTCTTATCGCCCTCGTCGTCGACTTCACCATCATCATCACTCTTGACTTCGGACCAAAGTTGTTGAGGTTCGGCAGCCTTGACAATACTTTTCTCAACTAAAGCATTTCCTCCCTCTGAGATGGATGTGACTTCAGCAGCGCTAAGTGCGTACAAGCAGCAGATTAGAATGGGAATGGCTGAGCGCATTTTCAATATGCTGAATGAATGCTGAGAATCAGAGATTAAAATCGAGCTTTTATATATGAGATTTGAAAGCTGGGTTGCGCAAAAGATAACTTTATGATGCTCTTGTATTAATGATACTGTGAGCATCAGATGTAACTAGTTTGATATCAAGTATACCTAGGGGTTAAACATGCAGGTAGCTTTCCTATGTGTTCCAATTGGTCGATTATTATTATATTTCAATGTGTTATGCTTTTTTGGTAGGTAACAATGTTATTGTTTGATTTGTCGCGATCAGAATTTCCAAGTTTAACATCCATTCATCTTTAGTATAGATTTCTTAATTATATAACTTTTTGGCAGTCGCCAAGCCAATTACTACTTAATCATCATTCGCTCGTCATCGCAAAGGAAATGCTTATTCTGCTTTGACGTGAATGCTAGTTGAAAAGAACCTTGAAAAGAGTTTCAATATATTATATTCATTAATTTATGAGGCATATAATGACGATCAATATGGTTCTAACGTTATGGGATATCACAAGGGCTAATCACCTCACATACCCAAACGGTCCTACATAACTCAAGAAATCTGAGCGTGCCGTATTTAGTATATATTGGAAAGATAAAAGTTAATGCATACTTCTCTTTATTATAGGTACCTTTTAGTAATTGAAGAAGATAATGACACTAATGACTGGACAGAGAAGGCTGTATAGTGTTATGACCTACGTTTCCAACAATGTGACTTGTCTCCTATAATGCAGCTCAATCTGAACAATGGGTGTGCCATATTGTATTTTGACTCGCAGCAAATTCTTCCTTATCGCAGATAAAAAATATGGTGTTAAATTGTCATTGTTCAATTGTCCATGGATACCGACGATTTTACAACCATCTTATCCCTGAGAAGGAGGTTACTTGTTTTTAATGTGTGTAAGCAATATACCACAAAAAGAAAGCGCCACTAGCTTGATTATCGTTCAAAGAGAATGTAAGGCTCATTATTTGTGCTAGGGGTATATACTGTGGAAAATAATTAGAACCAAATGTAAGAACATAATTGCACAACGATTGTTTGTCATTTCACTGCGGTGATTAGACTGGTTTGTGCTCGCTTCTTCAGACGATTTATCCTCTCGAAAGAATTGTTTTGTTGTCGCTTTCGACAACCAGACTGTCTATATGTAGGATTAGGAGACGTTGAATAACAGCGTGATTCAAACATTTTACTGCCAAGAAACTCCGTATACCTGTATGGAAGGAGCCCGCCAAAATCCTTCTGCAATTCCCACTGTTATTCCAGTGTTCCTACCACCTTAACCACTACCTCTTTTTGCATTCTGTTTGTAGGATCAGAGGTTTTGATCATTTTGTTATTTCTGAGTGCAGTAACAGCACCACAGCACCAGTGATGGACGCATAATGTGATGCGTTTACTAGGTACCTCTGAGTCCTGCCAGATTTAACAAACCATAAATGGAATACAGCCCGCAAAAATTTACGCTGTTCCTCCCGCGCTATGCCTCTCGCCAACGCTCGCTCCATTACGCATTAAAAGTTTTCTCAAATGCTATCGGGCCTAGCAAAATCTTGACACTAGCGGGCTTTCAAATATTAATCAAAACTCCAGTTCATCGAGAATGACATGAATGTCGTTCTACATTCCACCCTTCTCCAACTCCATTCCGTTCATTTCCAACTTCAGCCCACTTCTATGCCATTTTACTTTTTTATTTCAGATTCTCACACTATCTCATAATCGTTATCGCCAGATATAAACTATTCAAACTCGACCACTCCTATGCGGCATCAACTCAACCAATCGAGTTGCCCTTCTCAGCGATAGCTCATTTGAACTCCAGGACCAGGTATGTCGACTTTCGGTTATGGATGATGACATCGACCTTAGTGGCGAGCATTAATGTTCATTTTCTCCGGTGAATGCCTAAGTTATATAGACTCAAACTCGCCCTGCGACATCTACGCGCTCTCTAGTATACTGCTGTCGCCATGGATAGCCGATTTGAGCATTTGGTGTAAAAGGGACAGCAAGATATATGCCATTTGTTTTTATGACAAAAAGTACGTACATTTCCATTAAAGGCAACTTTACAAAGGCAACTAGGCTATAGTGAACTGGTTGATGTCGACTGCAAAGAGATACTGCACTTTATGCTAACGTCGAAGACTCAATTGATCTGTGTGATGGAACTGCAGAACAACGAAAGAGAGCAATAAACGAATCCTTGCAGTCGATTTAAGTTGAATGACAAGTGAAATGTAATCATGTCTTAAGCAAACGCGCACCTCCATGGGAACGAGCAAATGCCTACATTAAGCGCTTCTGCTTATGCTAATGGCTTACACTGTTAGCTATAGTCATTTTTTTTTTATAAACGAGCATCTTTTGCAGAGCTATTGCAAAACCTTGAACGACTTGGATTATACCAGTGAATGATATAATAGTGGCGGCAATGGTGACAAGGAGTGCAAGGGCATTTTGAGTTAGGCTTAGAGAGAAATCAGTGATAATCGGTATCTCCAGCTATGATATTCTTCACATAGTTTGGCATCAGATTTTCCGGCCCCGCTTTCATACGAATATTCCCAGGTATGCAATGCGTTTTCCATAGCCAAAAACTCTTCACAGTCTGTAATACCCAGTCCACGCACAAGGGTAAATGAATCAGGAGTGCTACATAGGACGGAGTAGATTCTCATAAAATCCACCAAGGCATGTTGCTTAGGACTTGTAGATGCATCATCTGCGAAGATGTCTGCTGTAATTTTCTGAGCTACGTGCATTTGACGAAACGTGAATTTTCCTATTGTCAACTTGTTGTTTGTCCTAAGAAATGAAATATTTTCGGTCACGTCTACAGTGTAACCTTTATCCAATAGCTCCTTTAAAGTAACTAATTTTTTCGGTATTTTGATCTTCTTCAACAGAGGAGTTCCAAAGATACGTTGAACAACTGTTGCTCGCAGTGTGTCACAATAGGCTTCTTGCAAACCTCAGTCGAGCTAATGTTGAAAGAGTTTCTGCCACCAGAGATGCTGCAGCTTTGGTTGAAGACTTCCTTCAATCCACTCTTTAATTGCTCGTATAAAATTAGCATTTTCCCTTCGTTTGCCAGACCGGAGAGCATCCACAGTTATACCGAAGAGTGATGAGAAATCTGTATATTTGAAAATCTCTTTCTCCTGTCGACAAATACTACTCGTGCTATAGACAGCCTTTATGCAACTTTCGAAAGTACCACATTCTAGCACACTGATGCAGCGAAGCATCCCTTTTAAGTTTTTGTTCACAATAACCATTTTGAATGAAGTCATAGAAGTCTCCAAGAATCCCACTTCAATAAAGTGACTATCAGGTAAAGGAAAGATGGCCCTCAAGTTACTAGCAATTGTAAAATCTGTCAGAACGGCAACCTGACAACCTGGTTAGGCTAACCTGCAGATAGACTGAACGCCTGTAAACTGGCAACCGCCTTGGGCCGTACATTGTAGTGTTGAAATCTTGCATGCAGATAACGCTCCAGTGACAACCACATGGCACTGTCAGTATTTAGTGATGCATGCCGACCTAATACTTCCAAATATGACACCTGTATGTGTGTTAAGCACGCTCGGAAACAGTACGCCATCACTGTTTTAGTTTGTTTTTTCGAAGTGAACGGCGGATGCAGTAACCATGAGAAACACTAGGAAAAGCATCAGCATCATTGACAAGACGGTTTACAAATGAATGTAGTCAAATAATTATCTCAGCCTCGATGGTGATATACATTAAACAGCAAGCACTTCGCAAAGGCCATAAAAAATTACATTTGTACAGGCATAAAATTCGTATACTTAGAATTCTAAGCGCGTTAAAGCTCACTTATGGATTTTCAAGCAATTAAACTACAGGGGCTTGACCAGACTAATCTTGTGAAAAGCAGGAATATAAAATATCCTGCAAATATGTTAATGGGGATCCATTGACCCTGTCGTCCAGGGATTAACGACATGGTCACTGCTGTAGATACATAAATCGTCAATTGATAGAGTATGCACCACAGAATAAAGAGAGCTATGCCTCCTAAAGAGATTGTCTACATATGCTGTGTCATGTATGATGGCTATACCCAACGAAATACATTTTGAGAGCATAGGTGCTGAGGATTTTCCTATAATCATAGAGACCATAGGTATTTGCAATTCAAGCTAAGTTGAAAAGGGCCATCTGAAAGGCGCTGAGATGGTGTTTGACATGAAAACAGTTATTTGCAACGCATAGCTGGAGACCCCCCTCGGAAAATCTTACGATTCTATACATCAAGAAATGGAAAGCAGTTGCTTGACAGTCTCTATTTTTCCGCAGTCGTCCGCTAAATTTCCACCAAATAAGCAGGCGTCAATACTGGCAAAAGGCAACATACACGGCAATGCACAACTGGACGGCAATCTCGACATTCCTGTTGAAAATGAAAGTCGAAGTAGTTCACCCTCTCAACTAGAAATCCGTACTAATAGAGTCTGTGATTATCCTTGGAGCATATAGCTTAATCCAAGTTCAACGAGATGTATATCTGAGTGTTTCGAGCAATTGGCGCTCTATCAAGTCATAAATAGTTCGTCGTCGACCCATGTAAATTCAGGCATTATTCACAACCCTATTTCTATTCGTCCATTGCGCCATTGTATAAAAGCATACCATCGTGTCTTCATTTGCACTAGTTTATGGGTACGCCATAGCGTAGTCACGCGAGAGGCAAGGTCATGAGAAAAATATTATTTTGTTCCTGAAATAATTACTGCTGATATTTTGTACTGTAGATAGATTCTGTACAATTAAAATGCTACTATTAGCATTTCAGTATATTCAAATGTTTTGAATGGTGGTTCATTTCAAGTGCACATTCCAGCATGCCTTTTCTTGTCATGTTCACCATGGTTCCACAGGTGTGAATCCGAATAATAAATTAACCTGGAGACTCCGCAGATAACACCGCTTCAAACACAGGGTGAGTACATTGTGCCTTCTTTTCTTAATGGCGAAAGTGACGACCTCAAAAGGTAGAGCGACATACAGTATATATTTGCTTCCGAGAGCAGCGCTTCCTTTAGAGTTTTTCTCTTTACCGGTGCTCTTTTTTAAGATATATATAGCCATGAGTATCTCTCATTCAAGATGTATAAGTCGGCCAACAAAGAACGCAGGGGTTGTATGATAAAATTCGGACCAATCAGGCAACATCATCGACATGAAGGCTGACCGATTTTGTACTGTGTGTCTGCGCCTTTTCCCAAGCGGCTAACTTACAGAACGTAAAGAAAAATGCACCGCTCAATACAATCAGCAAGCTTATAATTGTTACCAATGCTTGGATCGACTAAAATCCCCCTTATGGGTTTGACGACTCGCACTTTAAAAATGGTAGTGGTAGCCAGCAACCATCAAAATTCGCACTACGATAGCGATTGATCCAAATCTGTGATTAAAGTTTGTTCGGGCGTTTCTCCACACATGAGCTCTCATGTTTTTTTCTCCCCACATCTATCGAGAATAATTATTGATGTCTAGCGACGGCGAAAACGAAGTTTCCCAAGGTCCAGCATGCGTTCAATGTCGCAAGAGGAAACATAAATGTTCCAGAGGAGAACCTTGTCAATCCTGTTTGGCCAGTGGTGCTATGTGCTATTACGCCGAGTTCAAAAAGAGGGGGGCAAAACCTGGATATATAGAGACCCTCACCAAGCGAATGGACCAGTTGGAATCTATTGTTCTCGGACAATCGTTGCTTCTCGCATCGCAAGGTTTGGTACCAAAAACAGACGGTCCCTTGTCGCAAAAGTTGGAACATTTGCGCAGTGGGCTCATGCTCAATGCGGACCAAAATGGCACGATCTCGCAGTACGAGACTTCTCAGAATGATCGCAAAAGAAAGCGCTCATTCAGCAATGAGTCCGAAACAGACAACATACTGCCTCCTGAAAACCTCTTGAAGGAGCTTTGCAAACTGTATTTTCAGCAAATACACCCATGGATTCCTATCTTACATCGGTCGACCTTTGAGGAGAAATGCAAGTCACCAAATCGAAGCAACACCGTTTTACAGGCGATTACAGCAGCTACTATTAAGTTTACTAATCTGGATCAAATGGAGCAAGATTACTATTATAAGCGATGTCGCCAGGCTGTACTGTTAGCATCCATGGACCGATTCTCGGTTGAAACGCTTCAGGCGAGTATTATCATCGCCTACGACACTATTGGAAGTGGAAGAGGACCACGTAGCTGGTCAATCGTGTCTTCAGCCACCCGAGTAGTCGAACAACTGGGCCTTGCTGGAGAGGACGACGATATGGATACCAACAAGCTTCTCAATAGAGTAGGGTTTTTGGTTCCAGCAAAAAATGTGACGGAAACAGAAGAGCGCAGGCGTATATTTTGGAGCATATTTCAAATGGACCGATTTTGCTCGGTGACCACTGGCTGGAACACGAGCTTGACAAGTTCAGATGTAAAACGTCGCCTTCCTACTGATGGCACATTATGGAAAGAAAAAATCTACAAGAAAACTAGATACTTCAACATATCGGATCCGGATGTGGACTCTACCGATGTAAACGACGCTCTTGGAGGATATGCTTATCTTATAGAAGCGACTGAATGTCTTAATAGGGTGGCTTCATTCTTGTTGCGTGAAAAGGTGAATTTTACAACTAGAGAAGGCCTACGAACTTGGTTTGACGGATTTCAAGCGCTCGACAGCATGTTAGTTCGATGGAAAACCTTTCTCCCGGAAAAGTGGCAAGTGGCTTCGGTACAAGCTGACGGCAATATGGATGAAAATTTAACTCTGGCGCATATTACCCATAATACGAGCGTGCTGTTACTACATCACCATGTAGCCTATCCTCCAGCTGATCTGAATGTTCGTCTGCCTAGTCTGAATTCAGCTCAGACTTGCTTTTCTGCCGCATTGGAGATTGCAACCATTTCGTCCAAATTTCTCATCCACGTTCGAATCACTGTTTCACCTCAATTTGCATTTTGTCTCTTTGTGGCCGCTAGGACAGTGTTAGCTCACTCAATTCATTGTAACGCTGAATTGGACGGAAGCTTTGGTGTACTGGTGAACTCTCTCAGGGAAATTTCCAGTAGATGGAATGCGAATGGACCCAAACAAGATAATCTCGCTAATAAACTCGCAAACAAACTGGAAAACGCTCGAAATATGAACTCACCCATCAATGCACGAAAGGTTGTGTTCGAGGAGGAGGAAGGGATTGGCAGCATGTTTTCGCTTGCCTCACCATCATTTGTTGATGGATTCCGAAGCATATCATATCAGCCGGTGACTCCATCAAGTGGACACGACATAACGGACAACAACATCGAGCCATCTTCCGGAATGAGCACAAACTCTGTCACCGAATTCGAGCTACCCAACACTTTGACCGATTTTGATCATATCTTTATGTGGGCGGACTATCCTCGCAACGTACGAGACCCATTACAATGATGCAACAAAAGATGTTAATTAATATAAGTGTACATAATAAACTTTTACTTTCTGAAGGATTTCATTTCTTTCTCCTCATTTCACTGCTTACATCCCATCGCTTAAACATGAAATGAAAGACTTCTTGTTGCAACGGACATTGAACATCCGGGTGGCGAACCATAATGAAATCTTTTATCCACAAAATACTTGACCCAAATATTTGGATGACCATCATCGGACGTTTCTACCGATTGATGTCTGTGTACCAATTAACAAGCTGAATGGTATTGCGTATGCACTATTGTATGTTCTATCATACATGACACCGTAAACCCATGGAAGCTGAAACAAACTAAGCTTTAGCTTCAAACCTTCTGAAATGGTATAGACCAGCCCCATAGTCTTGTGTTTGATGCAACAGAACCATATTTTACAGTTAAAGTTGCACAGGCGCTATGCTTTGAATTGTTCCAGCGGGCATCTCGTAATTTGCGGGCCGCCTCCGCCTCCGCCTTTTTCTGACTCACCATATAAAAAATCAAAATCCTGGGGAAAATTTATAGAACGTCTAGAATAACAATCCGCCTTCCTCGGATATGGCAACTTTTGATAACGCACATTTTTCTCCAATCGGCAGCCGTCGCTTGGAAACCAAGGAAGACCTCCAAGATGCCTTCAAAGCCACGTTTGAACCTCTTTTACCCGCCTTTTCTTCCGGAGCTGCAAGAGTAAGAGTGGAACAAGGTGGAGCTCATTTTGACGATGCTGCCGCTGACCTGGAAGGATTTGCAAGACCACTTTGGGGAATCGTACCTTTCGTTGCAGGCGGTGGTAAATTTGAACACTGGGATCTTTACCATAGAGGATTGACAAACGGCACAGATCCAGATCATCCAGAATACTGGGGTACTGTGGGAGACAGAGATCAACGTCAAGTTGAACTAGCTGCCATTGGTTTTGCCATGGCCTTGATCCCAGAACAGTTTTGGGAACCCCTTTCCGAGAAGGCCAAAGAAAACATGATCCAATATCTTAGACATGGCCGTGACAAGGACTATCCCATCTGCAACTGGCGGTTTTTCCGTGTTTTGGTGGATCTAGGACTGAAAAAGGTTGGCGCACAGTACGATGTTAAGATGACAGAGGAATACTTGGATGATGTGGATTCATATTATCTTGGAGAAGGCTATTACGGAGATGGTTTCGAAAAGTATAAGATGGACTATTACAATCCTTGGGCCTTTCACTTTTACGGCCTAATCTACGCCAAAGTTTGCCCGGAAGACTCAGAACGTCAAAAGAGATACAAAGAGCGCACAAGGGTCTTTGCCGAGCAGTTCCAACACTGGTTTGCTGATGATGGATCATGCATCCCATTTGGCAGAAGTCTCGTCTATAGATTTGCTTGTGGTTCATATTGGGCCGCCCTGGCTTTCGCTGATGAAGAAGCTCTTCCGTGGGGCGTCATCAAAGGTCTATATATGCGCCACATGAGATGGTGGACAAAGCAACCAATCTCTCGTCTAAACTCTGGAGTGTTGTCGCTTGGTTACGCATATCCTAACTCGTTCGTATGTGAAAACTACAACTCACCTCAATCACCTTACTGGGCAATGAAAGCTTTCCTTCCACTTGCACTACCCTCGACTCATCCTTTCTGGACAGCACAGGAGCTTCCTGCCAGCTCTGCTCCCGCTAACCTGCCTATACCCGGAATGGTAATCTCGCATTATCCCCAGAATACTGTCGCTTTAATGTCCGGTCCACAGCACTTTAGAGACACCGTCCGATTCCAAGCTGAGAAATACTGCAAATTCGCCTACAGCACGAGATATGGCTTTAGTATTGATGCCAATGCAAAGAACTTTAACAGTGCTTCTTTCGACAGCATGATTGGCTTTTCCGAGGATGGCATCCATTTTAGAATCCGTGAGTCAACCAAAGCAAGAATTCATGAAGACAGACTTTACTCTACGTGGTCCCCTTGGGAAGATGTATCAATTGAAACCTGGTTGATTCCTCAAGGAAAATGGCATATTCGAGTTCATCGTATTGAAAGTGGACGTCGCTTGGACTCTATGGAAGGCGGTTTTGCAATTTCCAAGACAGATGCTGCTGGCAACATTACCAAACTGGAGATGCCCGACAGGTCGTATGCCGCAAATGCTGAAGATTTTAGTGGAATGGTTAATCTGAGCGCCAACCGTAAGGCACGAATTCACGTCCCTGAATCGAATTCCAACCTAATGGCACAGAAAACTATTCTTCCTCAACTATTGGGTGAGATTGCTGCTGGCTCAACGACGCTTTTCGGTTGTGCAGTTTTGGCCATGCCAGACACTCAAATAGTCAACAGCGATTGGAAAGCTGTCCCTGAATTGCCTTCTGAAGAAGAGTTGGAAGCAATCAAAAAATTGTCTAAGCCTGTCTTTGGTGAATAGCTGGATACTTTTATTGAAGTGTCATTGCATGTATAATAAAACATTAACAAGTATAAAAAAGTTCGGCTTCTGAAAGAGAAATAATGGGCAACAACGTTATGGAGTTCTGTACCAGGCGCCAAAATCGAGAAATTGAAAATAGCAGTGTTCAAGTGTTCAAGAAATCTATTTTTCAGTCCTACAGTCTTGCGCAGTCAATAAATCGTCTCATACCGTCCATTTAGTTCTACTGAGCATTCACTCACAGTATCAAAGAGCCAAAATTGCAAATTTCAGATAGCAAGCCATGACACATTGAAAGAATTAAAACTTTGGGTACTACATGCTATAACTATACCATTACGGGTTGTGAACGGAGGGCGACGTTTCAATGGCAAACTAACATATACAAAGATACGAATAGAGCTTAGAATCGCAGCAATGGAGCATACATTGAATTTAACATATCGTTTGACTGTCAAAATGTGCAATAGCTTCAATGACAAGATTCACATGTCTTCTCTATTGAGTTTGCTATAACATCAACACAACATAAAAGCATTAAATCACAGAGTATACATTAATTTATTTAGATGAGAATATTCAGAAATAGCTTCAAGACTAAAATAAGCGGCAGTGGACCATAGTAGAATTAGGTGGATTTAATGTCTTCCTCCATACCGAACTTTTCATCTGAAACTTGCTTATGTTGACCAGCAGCAGGATCTTCTACATCTCCGTGGCGAAAAGCACCACCCCCAACAGCAGCCGCTTCTCCTTCAAAAATTACAGAAATTTCCTCAAGACTGAGTCCCTTGGTTTCAGGGAAAAAGAAATATACGACAATGAATTCGCATGTGATTACACAACAGAAAACAATGTAGTATTTCCAGCCGATGGCAGTCATGGCAATAGGATTTACATAGGAATTGAAAAGTCCGATGATTTGACCCATGAGTTGGAATATAGCCGAGGCCTTGGAACGAAGTTCATAAGGTGCCACTTCAGTCAAGAAAAGATTGGCCAAAGGAGCAACAACATGATAGGGTATTTCGAATAAGTAGATCATAGCGACAACGCCCATGCCATAGCCGGGATTGGAAAAGTTGCCTTCTTGTGACAAAGCGGATAGAATAGTCCAGGGTATGAAACAAACCAGCATTCCAACTACACCGATCATGAAGAAACGACGACGACCAAACATTTCGCAATATGAAGCGATGGCAACAGCTGCGAAAAGTTCAAGAACCAATAGGGTAGCATTGATGACGAGTTGATCTTTGGTTGTGGTAATATTGATGCCGTTGAGAATTAAATGCAAATAGTAACTGATAACGGCATTTCCAGATAGCTGTGTCATAACAGGAATGAACATGATGATGGCGAGTCGGTGACGGTTTCCTTTTGTCTTCAACCATTGGCTCCATCTTCCAGATTTCTTGATGGTATCTGATTGCAAAGCAGCCCGAATCTCAGCCAATTCGACACGTACTAGTAGGGAATCTTCATCACCTCCACCATGGTATTTGACGAGCACAGCGCGAGCCTCTTCAATTCTACCGTGTGCCACAAGCCATCTTGGGGACTCAGGGCAAAAGTAAAGGAGAACAATTTGGAAAAATGCAGGGAAGCACTGTAGAAGACTAGGTAATCTCCAAGCCCACGTAGAATTGATGTAATATGATCCGAAGGTAATCAAGGCACCAATCAAGGCACCGAAGGGAAAAGATGTTTCATAGAGAGAAGTAAGGACAGATCGCTGCGTAGGATAAGCAGTCTCGGCGAGTAACATTGGAGAGGTGGTGTTCATAAGTCCAAGACCCATTCCAATGATAAATCGACCTACCCAAAACATACCAAAGTTTTGAGCAACACTTTGAATAATGGCGCCAATGATAGTGAGTATTGAACCAGCAATAATCGGCCAGCGTCTACCGAACCTGTCGCATAAGTACGACGCAGGGAAGAGAACAAGAAGGACACCAAAGGTGGTTCCACTTGATAGTGTTCCAAGACTAGCGCCTTGTGGGTGATTAAAATAGTTTTCCCAAGCTCCAAGGGATTGAAGACCATTAAGCATACTACCGTCGTAGCCGTTGGTAGCTTGAACAAGGATCGCACCAGCTAAGAATAAATTTAATTGGCGAAGGTGTGGATAATGCCACCACATTTTGTCCAGCTTTGGGGCGGCATCCTTCAACATTATGTCGATTTCCTCTATGCCTTTGTTGTCGACATTAGGAACATTGTCCATGTTGGCATTCTTTTCGACAGCCATCTGTAGAGTGAGACTTAGCCGAGAAAGGATATGGGCAATGGACCTTTTATATAAATCTAAAAGGCGTAGTGGAATACGAAGTTGGATCACAATGTTCCCCGCAAAAACGGTAGGACATCTTTCCCATGGCACATGAAGTTTAATGAAATTGGCAGACTTTTCTCCACATTGATACGCAGGTTTCTAACCCCGATATCAACTGTTACTAGTCATCCCCAGTATCGGTACAATCTACGGCCAACGACCGCCGGATATTTCGCACCATAAAGGGCTATTTGTCGGCATATGACACAAATAGAGCACATATCTCCATGGTACTTCATTGTTTAGGTAATCTATTACGCTATAAACCTTTCTACGATTTGTGTTGTTGAAGCCCAACATCTGTTGAAAGCAGTGTAAGCGCAAGTTACAAAAAAGAGGTAAGGATCGTCACCTATAGTGAGCTTGTCGAAATGTACTGTTTCACACAGAATACCGCAAAGTCTTTGACAGTTTGATAACCATTGCCAGGGCAAAGTGCAACAAAATCCCGCCCTGGAAAGATTGACGCCACTATTGGCACGGAGTTATACCCGGTGAATAAAGTTAGGTCAACAACCAACTTTCCCCATGTCACGTTACCCCATAACAGGAGTAATGTAGGGTCCGTCACCGTTTTCCCGCGGAGTCATTTTAACAAACCTTAACATTTCACTACAATAATTATATATTTGAATAATGGCTTGGGTTCAAACCAACCACTCTTTATTGTCTACATATCCATCAATTCATAATGCAAGTATCACCAAGTGTTGGCTTCCCACCGCAAAATCTCAACAGCGGATTAGATCAAATCGACACGAAACGAGATGCAATAGCAGAAGAGACAAAAGCTGTTTTCAAAGCTGTTCTCGATCATTCTGCCATGGAAAAGATCTTGAAGGTCGCCAATCAAGAGCCTCCTGTTCCTGACACTTTCCCACACGTTACCAACTTTGGAGCGACCGAATACATCTACGAACCTTCAGAATGGTGGACCTCTGGTTTCTTTCCAGGAAGTATTTGGGCACTTTGCGAGCGTGCATCCAAGAGAGAACTGCCTGTTTCATTTGAAGAACTGGTCAAGATCGCAAGAAAATGGCAAAGTGGTATGGAGAAGGAACAGTACAATACTGAGACTCACGACATTGGATTCATGATTATGCCCTCCTTCCAACGAGACTTGGATCTCACTGGCAGTAAGCCATGTGGCGATGTCATTATCCGAGCAGCTGAATCCTTGTTGACCAGATGGAACGAGACCATTGGATGCTTGAGGTCTTGGAACACCACAAGCACCAAGATCTATGAATTCGCCAACAAAGACACTGATTTCCTTGTTATCATCGACAACTTGATGAACCTGGATCTCCTCTATTCCGCAACATTGCTTTCAGGAGATCCCAAATATGCAGCTATTGCTACCAAGCACGCTGAGACCACTCTCAAATACCACATTCGTCCTGACAACTCAACCTACCATTTGATTGTATATGATCCTGTGACGGGTAAGCGAAAGGTTGGTTTGACTCACCAAGGATATGACCATGGAAGCACTTGGAGTCGCGGACAAGCCTGGGCCATCTACGGTTTCGCAACAGTTTACAAGTATACAAAGGACCCCAAGTTTTTGGATGCTGCAAAGCGATTGGCCGAATACTTTATGTCAAGAGTCGAAAACGGAGTCGTATATTGGGATTTCGATGCGCCTCGACCATGTGTATGGGATACCTCAGCTGCCACGATTGCCTGCTCGGGAATGCTTCTATTGTGCCAACTGCAAGGAAACCTTGAGTACCTTCCTCAAGTCACTTTGTTAATGAAGACTTGCATTGATGGGGCATTGACCAATGAAGATGGT